ACAGCTCTCAGATTCCATCAAAAATATCTTAATTTGTGTTCCGAAGATGAACGAAGGTCTTACAGGTTTGAAATGACATGAGGGTGAGTAATTAATGACAGAATTTTCATTTTTGGGTGAACTTATTTTTAGCTGTGTCCTCTTTTGGAAGGCCAAACAAAGTATTTTCGCTTTCGCAACGAAACACACAGCATCTTCGCAACATGACAGCGGCGGTGGCAGCAGCAATAAAGTTACGCCTTCTTTCTTTGCTTGAACATTTGGACGGTGTTATGCAAATCTTCCCACACAGTGACGTAGATATGTGGGGGCGTGTTTAAACGAGGTGTTTTAGGAGGGCGTGGACGAGTCTTAACTTTTATAAAGAATATCTATTTGGGTTTGAGACTTGTCTTTGCAACTTTAGGGATCTTATCGATTCACGAACAGCTTGTAAAACTCCAAAGAGAAAGGAAAACTTGAAATCGCATCATATGACCCCTTTAATGCATGTATGTATATTATATTTATTCATTAAAATATACGTATTTATTTGTATAGGGATCCACGGAGAACCAGGTATTAAGAGATCAAAAGTGAGTATTTTCAACGTGCCGATAATCCCTACAATAAAGAGCAGTGTATGGTCTTTCATATTGATGTTTTTTTTTTTTTACAGGTGGCCTCTGCTGATGAAGTTGTGAAAACCATAATAAGTCACATGACCGATTCCTCGAACAAATCACATCTGTCCTTGAAATCAGGTAAGATGTGTAACTGGTCAGCACAGGGTTGATTCTGAAGGTGTTGAGTGCGTTTACATGAATGTGTATTTAAACCTGTATTTCTCTAACAGGAGACAAGGTGGTGCTGTGTGTGAATAATCTTGGTGCACTCTCATGTTTGGAAATAGCTGTGGTTTCTAAAGTGGCCGTACACTGCCTAGGTGAGACTCAAGTAGCACAAAACATTATAATATACACTATATATTAGATGTACAACATTCAGCTTTTAGACAATTTTTTTTACATAAATAGATTATTCAAATAATCTTGTTATATCCTAATATTTGAATTTCACTATACTGTTAAGGATTTTTAATGAAAGAGTTTTGGAAACTGTTTTTATAAAATGAGATGTCCTTAACGGACATTGACTGTGTCTGATTCGATGGTTGTCATTTTCAGAGGAGCGTGGTGTGCTGGTTGTCAGGGTGATGTCGGGGTCATTTATGACATCATATGTGTGTGTGTGTGTGTGTGTAGTGCAGTGCAAAAATAGTAAAGTATTTCTGATTTGTGTTTCTCAGATGCTAAAACCACAGCCCCGGCCTGGCCTAACCTCAGCACAGCCTCTGTGAGTGGGAGGAACATGTTCATGAAACCTGAAGAAAAACCTGGCGCATCTTCAGATAATTATAATGAAGGTAGGGAAGAGACAGAGAGACATATTTCAGCCATATATGCCTCAGTTTATTTGCATTTCATTTAATGTAGTTCAGATTTAAATATATATTTAAACCTTATTATTTCATTAGTAATATAAATATAATATTTGTAATGAAAATTAACATGGTTACATATTTTTTGACATATCCTGTTTAAAAGTTTGTGGTCAGTAAAAATTTTAAATGTTTTTGAATCTCTTTTGCTCACCATGACTGCATTTATTTGATCAAAAATGCAGTGGAAACACTACTATTGTGAAAAATTATTACAATCTGTTTTGTATTTTAATTGATTAATTAGGATTCTTTGATGAATAGAAAGCTCAAAAACAGCATTTATGTGAAATAGAAATCTTTTATAACATTATAGTATATGTCTTTATGGTCACTGTGATCAATTTAATGCTTTCTTGTCAAATAAAAGTAATTTATTTTTAAAAAAATCTTACTGAACTAAAACTTTTGAACGGTAGTGTATATTTTTACCAAAATACCTGAAGCACTTCTTCAACACAGTGGTGCTGATCCACAGGTTCGCTGTCTTCAGTCATTCGACTGGTGTTGGAGTCCGTGTGCAAGATCCTCCTGCAGCACCAAGAGGAACTCAACGCTTTGGACCGTGCAGCAGGAGATGGAGATTGTGGGAGCACACATGCTCTCGTAGCTAATGGTAAAACATTTTCATTTAAACCAACATATTGATTCACAATCATGTAAACCAACATGTTGGGTAATTTTGTGTTAATGTATTATGCTTTTTAAATGATTGTTTTACTTGACCTCTAAATGTTGTCGGTTACACTTTACTTGAAGGGGTGTGCATAAGACTGACATGACACCTTCATAATTATGAAGGTGCCATGTCAGTCTTATGCACACCCCTTCAAGTAAAGTGTTACCATGTTGTCTACTTAAGCCATTCAGGAGTGGCTCCACACTAGCAGAATCCCTGGGAATTTTGGCCAGCTTCTAGCAGAGCTTGCTCTATTGGTTCAGCAAAGGACAGTTGTCATAAACATGCATAAAACCTCCTTCATATTCATGACATGTGTCATGTCATGATTATGAAGGTGCCATGTCAGTCTTATGCACACCCCTTCAAGTAAAGTGTTACCATGTTGTCTACTTAAGCCATTCAGGACTGGCTCCACACTAGCAGAATCCCTGGGAATTTTGGCCAGCTTCTAGCAGAGCTTGCTCTGTTGGTTCAGCAAAGCATGGGAGGATCATCAGGGGCGGTATGTTAATGTACATCAGGTTCAAACACTTGACTTACTAAACCAGTGCTTGAGCTGATTAACTACTCTATAAAAAAAAATCTCGAAGCGTAATTGTCTTTCTCATGAAATTATCAAAGTACACTTGATCTTTTTCTCCCCAGTTATACTGCCTCTTTTTGTCTGCGGCTGCCCCTCATCTCAAGCAAAACTGTGATGGTGCAGCTTGGGCAAAGGCATTGCATGCTGGGACAGAAGCCATGAAGAGGTCAGTGACACGAGTATTAGCTGAACACTTTCAGTCTGAATTGTTTTCCTTTATACTAGAATGTAACTGTAAACTTAACGATGTGTACAAAGTATAAAGATTTTATTGCAAATATAAATATTTCCTTGTTTTCCAACAGATATGGAGGTGCTGAACCAGGGGACCGGACCATGGTATGATTGAAACACGAATTAAGAGTCATATTTTAGTTGTAGTAATTGTTGTACACAAATTAAATAGTAAATGTAGATTAGGTACCATATGCATGAATTCAAGAATTACGTTATCGTTTAAAAGTCTGTTTTTGTACAGTAAAAACAGTATTTTTTTTTTTTGCAATTTAAAATCACTATTTTCTATTTTAATATATTTTTCAGCATCATTACTCCAGTCTTCAGTGTCATATGATCCTTCAGAAATCATTACAATACGCTGATATGGTGCTTAAGGAAAAAAAAATTTATTTTGGTAATGTTGAAAACAGTTGTGCTGCTTAATATTTTTTGTGAAAACAGTGTTTTTTAAGGATTCTTTGATGAATATAAAGTTCAAAAGAACAGAACAATTCATTTGAAACATTTTTTTAAAACAAAGTAAAAGTCTTTACTGTCATATTTAATTAATTTAATGAGTCCTTGCTGAATAAAATAAAATAAATTTCTTTAAAAAAAAAATCATACTGACCCCAGACCTTTAAACAGTAGTGTAGATCCCTGTTTACATTTCAGAATATATTGTACATTTAATAATCATACGTTTATTGGGTAAATGTGTATTACAGTATTGATCAACACTACTGTTTATATATCTATGAATATCAATAATTGATCCCTGACACAAATAAAAATCTACTTAAGCAGTGGTTTTGAAATAAAGTCTTATCCTATAGGACCTTCATTAAATCAAGTCTTTGATAGTTCTACAAATCAGTGATGAAACTGACCCTGCGTGTTATCTTTTAGCTTGATGCCCTGTGCCCTGCTGTGGAAGAGTTGATGAAACTTTCCACGACGGTGCCTCCTGATGGTCACATAGCTATACTACAATCAGCAGTGGAGGTATGGACTATCACTTTAACCATTTTTTGCTTTCCTGTTTTCTCATAATTTCTTGCATCTATAATATTAGTCTCTTGCTTATCTGTAACAGAAAGCCGATTTGGGAGCGGAAGCAACCCGCAATCTCACTGCAAGGGCTGGACGTGCCAGTTACGTTGCGTCTGAACATTTGACCCAGCCTGACCCTGGTGCCGTAGCGGTTGCTGCCATTCTGAAGGCTATACTCAATGCTTTGAAGGCCTAGAGATAGAGAAGCTCACCAATAGTTTCTTAAGGAACAGTAATGCAAAAGGCTGTAAACAAAACACGAGTTTGCTAACATTTGATTATAGCAGCTCTTCAAGATGATGTGTGGAATTTTAAAATACATTCTCCGATCCCTGTTAAATGTGATTTTTAGTAGGTTGACATCCTTAAAAGTGTGTAAAAACTGTTGCTCGACACTCAACTATGTTTGGCCCACATAGAAGCAATGGCTCAATCAATTGAGTGAGTTTGGTCCAAGAAGCCTTTTTAAAACAGTCATCATTTTTGCACTGCAATTTGGTGCCACTAACGGAATTAACACTTTTTTTTAGCTTTAATGCTGGAAATACTGAATAATTAATCAATGCACTGCCATTAATGAAACAATGAAAAGATGAGTGACTAAGACCAAATAATGTTAAAAAAACTTGACAATCCAGTTTTGAACCTAGGGTAATATTTATTGTGATTAAGTTAGTGTGATGACTATTTTTATTACACTTGGTGTGAAAGCAAGTCGTGCACCCACAGTTTCCTGACTTCCTGTATCATCAAGCACACAGTCAAACATATAAAACGGCATTGATTGATGATGGCTTAGGCATATACTAGCTTTGCTTTAATGATTAATCACTTCATTTCTAGATTAAAATCATTTTACAAGGAAATCAAACTGTGCCACAGTCAGTGTTTACCGCAGGTGTAACTGCCTTCAGCAACTCAAGATCAAAGTAAAAGAAAACCATTTTAGCAGGAAATGAAAGTCTTTAAAAAAAAAGCTATAGTCTTACCTAAATTGCGCAGAAAAACACAGTATTATCTAGCGTTTTCTGTGTACACAACACAACCAGGAAAGAGTGAAGAGATACATGCTGAAGTTGTTATTTTAAAGTGCCTGGGTGTTACAGGTTCTAGTTTAATTAGACTAAAGAATAGAACTTGATGCAAGTATAATTTCTGACTGTTTTTTTCGCCCACAGAGATGGAGTTTGCTTGCAGTCATGTTGTGTGTAACTGGAGGTCTGAGAGCTTATCAGAAGATGAAGCTAAAGTCTCAAATCAAGGTCAGTTGTATGCTGTAAATGCATAAATGAGAATGGAGAACTGCTGTCTGTTAATATTTAATATTACAGCACACATAATACTGATGAGACATGTAAAGAGACAGAATTACTGAATGAAGAATAATAAGTATTAAGGGAAAGCTCAGCAACAACATTTTGAGACAACAGTCCAGTTACACATGCCTGGTTTCTCTAGCTATGACGGATTCAATGTCAGCTTGGGGCAGGTTTTTATTTTTTGTACATTGATAATTGTTTTACTGTTTAAAATTGATGCTGATAAAAATTTCACTGAAACAACATTAAATAGTGTCTAATAGGTAGGTTCCCATTGTGACAACTAGGCCCATGTTGTGTATTGGGGTATTTTTATATAATTTGGCACAAATAGTCAGTGTGTAACTCCATCTATCGCTCATGACTGCTTGTGTTTTGTAGGTTGTGCCTCCACTCTTCCCTGTGGTCTGTCCAGAGCTCAGTCTGTCTCCGATCATCCTTACGACAACCGCGTTACCTTTGTTCAGAAACCAGGTGAGTAATTGACACCTTGTTTTTCACCTTACCATTGCTTTATGAACGTTCTTCCAAATGTGTGAAGTAGCTTGGATGCTCTCTTTACATGTGAAGAAGAATAGTGGGCAAAAATGGAAAGTGAAGGATAGGGACTGTTGAACACTAAGAAGGATTGTGTCCAAACAACACAGAACTACTACAGCAAAAGACTGCAAACTTCATTTTCACTTTGAACACCATGTTATCACAAAAACTAACCACAGAGAACTTCAAAAAGCCAACATTCATGAAGAGCTGCAACTGCTACAACTTAAATCACAGACACCAATGCTAAATGCTAAAAAGATAATGTGATTATCTTAAAACCTAGATAGTTTGAGCACTTTTTTTCCATTTTTTTCAAATTTTAACATCAATATTATCAACCACTGTGGACAGGTTTGAAGAGAAGAGAGATTCTCTCCTCCAATATCAGTAAAACAACTGGCACTTGTTCTGATAGATGACATTCTAATGGAGACTATTACAAAGTTTTTTGACTATTACAAAGTATGAATTTATTCTAAGAAGTAAGGGTGCTCCGATCAGGATTTTTGGATCACAGGAAAGCAGTATCTGCCGATACGATTACTGATACCGATCTTTTTGAAGCCTTCTTTTTAACATGTAGAATTATTTATAGTGAAGCTCCAATCAGGGTTTTTACAGACATTCGTTCAGGGCCTGTATTTCATTTTT